GCCCGCGCCCGCGCAAATGAACACGGGCCACGCCAGCCAGGGGTACACCGCTACATGCCTTTTTTATTACAAGACTACCGAGCATACGTGGAAAACTCATCTTCCGGGCACTACATCTAAAGCACAAATACTGGGCGGGGGTGGGCATAAACAGATTCTTTAAATTATATGATTAAATCATTGACCAAATAGAAAATTTATATAATAAAGCCAGAAAAAAATTTGTAAAATATAGTTTACAATAATTATTCACATTCAAGGCTGTACATCAATACATACAACAGCTTGGCCCCGAACATGAATTCAATCCAAATAATTCATATATTAGAATTTAAATAACACAGACTGAACTAGAGGCCAGTAGCCAGCAAATAACCTTATATAAGAATAAAATACAAAAGTGTATATCCTAGTATCATTGCATTATTTGTTTTCATCAGTTCTGTTTTAAATTTTTGCTGTGCCTGTACATCACAGTTGGAACTACAGACCAGGGAGAGTATGACACACTTCCGCACTGCCACCAGCCGGAAAGACCGCTAACCTACTACTGCTTGTCCTACTTGAGGTTGTAACAGGGCAGCCACACAGCAGTTTAAAATACTGCCATGATTTCATTTTGCTGGCGGCCAAACTTGTGGTCAGAGGCTTCCCCCACCCCACCACCCTGCACCCCTGGCAAAGCAAGCCCCATCATGTCATTTATCCAGAAGGGTTAGACTAGGGGGCGAGGGGTTTACACAGCTATAAAAGGTTGGCCTTTTGTAAAAAGCATCTCTGTACATCAAGTTTGTGGTGCTTCTTCATACTGAAGAAGTGAGTTTTGAGGAAATTCAGGTAGACCTGTAAGCTGGTCAGTCATCCACCATGGCTTGGTTAACATGGTGCCCTCCCCGACCAGTTCCCCACAGGCCAGTTGGCCTACCCCAGCCTGATGAGGACACCTGCCAGAGAAACACAACCACACCCACTCGAGTCCCATTGGGCTGTCGTGAGCTGCGGGGATGAACAGAAGTAAGATGGGAAACTATATGGCAAACCCTCCGAGAATGCCCTCACATTCTCTCCCTGTACTGCCAGCTCTGTGGGCCAACCAGAAAAGGGACTCATGGCTTCAGGGGGCAGAGACCTACCTGCAACACTCAGCAAGAGGTTCTGGGGGGCCAGGAACCACTGGGCCCGGGGTCCTCAGAAGCCTGGCAGTCGTGCTCCCTCAGCCTCCCCACACACAACATGGAGACATGAAGAATGGCACCCGTGTGGATGGCCTGAGCTCAGGTGGCCTTGGGCGGGCCAGCAGGGAGCAGGGAAAGGGAAACCATGGAGTCTGACCAGCCCGACCACCACATTCTCTACAGGGACACTGCACGGCTGCTGGATGCCACCACCCCAACCCCCACCCCAACCCCCACGCTGCCCCAGACGTGTTCTGACCCAGCTCCACCACGTGCAGAGGGGCAGGGCGAGCACAGGGTGTCCAATCCCAGCAGTCTAAAGGGCAGGCTCTGATGACCGCCTGCCGGACACTGCAAAGTCAGGCCGGTGGACACTTCTCCATGCTGACTGTGCAAGCGTCAACTCAGTACCATTGTGGAGACAAGTTCAAGATTCTGGAGAGAGGCAGAGCATTCGGGAGCGTACAAGCAGGTGGGCACGGCCAGACCCGCAATGACAAAAGGCCTGACTGGGAGGGGGTGGGATCAGCCCTCCAGCAGCAGTAACAAGGGGCAGGCTGGTCCCGCCCTTCTCTGCAATGCCTGACCCATCAGACTCTGGAGAGGAGGGAGGGGCCGGTGTTGGAACTGACAGAAAAGCAGTGGGTCCAGGCAGAAGGGAGGAGGAGCGGACACTACCTTTGAAGTGAACCAATGCTGTGACCCTGGAAGTAGTTACTTTAGAAAGCAAAGGGGCAGGGACCAGTCAAAACCAAAGATTTATAAAGCTTTTCATCACAGCGTTATCTAAACTGTTGGGGGAGAGGGAGAGAGATGATCTAAAGTGTTTCCCAACGGGACATGGCCAGGTAGATTGTGGTAAGATTCCCAACAAATAAACTCTATGACCTTCATAACCTGGTCTCTGCGGAGAGCTTGGGAAAGCTGGGAACAAAAGCACTCTGCACTGTTTGACTTCAGGCAGGTCAGCAATGTATGTGGGGGTGGGGGGTGTTGGGGGGCGGGGCCAAGAGCCACACATGAGATTCCTACCCGCCAACTTTCACAGTGGACTTTCTCAGGCTCTTGATGAGACTCCAGCTGACTCCCGAATGCAGTGGGCTCCAAGATCACAGCCTGGCCGGAGTCCCGGAGCCTGGAGGTCTGGGTCACAACCATCTGCGCTGATTGTCAGGCCAAGGTCACAAATGCCACAGGGCAGCCCAAGAACAACTCTGGGGCAGGTGGGGAAGCTCCAGGTGCAGCTCATGGGACCAACCCCCACTGGGTGGGATGGGACAACCTGGAGTCTCTCCACAGGCCCGGAGCAGCCCCCAGGATGCCCCAGCTGCCTGTCCTGCGTCCGACACCCGCCTCCTGAACCTGCGGAGCCCAGTACGCCATGTTTATTTCCAAGCCCACACATCGGAGCACAGAGGGTATGAGTCCCCAAGTGCCAGGGCTCGGGCGCAAGGGCAGGGCTGGGGCAAAGGGCGGCTGTGTGAGCAGCTGGGCAGGAAGCAGGTGTGGTCTTCAGAGAAGGACATGGACTTGGACCAGCGCCCACAGCTCAGGCTAGGGCAAGCGGCAGCCCCCGTCAGGGCCTCAGGCTGGAGGTAGTGGGGCTGCCCGCAGAGCAGAGGACAGTGTGAAGGCTCCCCGCAGCAGCCCCGCAACAACTCAGAGAACCCTTTCCTCACTGTGGCAGCTGGCCTGATAGGCAGATCACAGAAGGCTTGGTCTGGGTACACAGCGGGGCTCCCAGGAGCCCTCCCCCTGCTCACCTGGGGAAATCAGAGGGGAAGGGCAGGGCCCATCCTCAGAGCCGTATCCAGGAGATGACACAAAGTGGGGGTATTGGGGCTGCCTCTGGGGACAACCTTACCAGGGAACAGGCTGGCCCTCCTAGCTGTGAAGTTCTGAACCAAGTGCACGAAGGCAGTGACCCAGGGACCGCCAGGAGGGGGTGTGGTCAGACCAGGCTAGACTCAGGTCCAGGTGAGTGTGTGTGTGTGTGTGGTGTGCCAGACAAGGTTATGTTCAAACACAGATAAGTGTGCATGTTGTGTGTGTGTGTGCTCCAGCACGCATGTTGAAGACTAGGGGTGCTCAGGTACAGGAGTGCGTGAGTGACTGACTGAGCGAGGTCGGACCAGCTAAGAATATGAGTGTGTGCCAGCGTGTATGTGCAGGACTATCAGACCAGGCCATGCTCGGGTCCAAGTCAGTGTGAGTGTAAGGGGGACTTATCAGACCAGCTCTCAAGTGAACATGTGTATGGGGGGCCGGGGGAGGGGTTGCCAGGCCAGCCTTTTCAGGTAGGTTTGTGGGCATGGTAGAGGTGATCCCTGCATGTGCATGCGTGCATGTGTGTGTGTGTGTGTGTGTGCGTGCGTGCGTGCATGTGTGTGTGTGTTGGGGGTGATCCTTGCCTCAAGCACTGGGAGTGGGAGACCCAGCTTCTGGGCAATCCACTCTTTAGGGACCAGGGGCCGGGCCGGGGTGGGGTGGTGGTGAGGGGCTGCAGCTGGGGCTGGGCTGAGCCACCTGCCCCCTAGGGTTGGGCCCCTCAGGGAGTCCTTCCTGGTGTCTCCCACAACAACCTGAGTGACCTGGACAGCCTGTGCCGCTGCCTCACCAGCGGCAGCTGTGCTGACAGGGAGCCTGCAGCTTGGGCTTTGTGGGGTCGAGCTGGGCCAGAAGCGAGGACTGAGGGGGTGAAGGAGGCGTGCGGGGCTCAGGCGCTGCCTATGGCGGACGCAGGAGGAGCTATGCAGCAGCAGGTCTGCAGCAGGTTGCCGGCCACGGCCTCACAGAAGCATCGCAGCCAAGCCCTGGGTGGCTGTTACTGGTTTTGTTCTGGTGGAGAGTCAGTCTGTCTTTTCTCTTAAATAAGAAAGCGGCGAGGCATCCGCGTGTGCTCCCCCAGCAGGGCCACGGCGGTCACTGGATGGCAGCCGGCTGGCTCTGGTACCTGTGCCTCCACACCTCCTGGATCTTCTTGCACCACTTGTGCGCGTTGCCGCTGGGGTCCATCAGGTAGTAGGTCCTGTTGGGCTGCGAGGCAGAGGGTGCTGTGCTCTGGCGGGTACCAGGGACCCTGCCCCGGAGGACACTGCCACAGGCCCCCCCAGGCCCCCAGGCACACTCACTGTGTGAACAAAGAAAGTCTTGAAGTTCTTGGCCTCAGGTCGGAGCTCCTGGGACCACGGGATCTCCCCTTTCAGGACCTTGTTGACAGGGTCCACGTAGTACAGGTGTGGCCCCTCTGTGAGTAGCAGCTGCCGCCGGCGCGCAAACAAGCCCTGAGGGAGGGAGGGAGGGAGGGACGGCCATCAGGGCTCCCACCCACTGCCCCTCAAGTGGAACCCCCTCCATCAAGTGCCTGAGCCATGTCGAGAGAGGGTCAGCCGCTGACACAGGCAGGGCCGGGGCGCCGAGTCACTGGGCTGGAGTTTCTGAAACTTCACAGAGCCCAGAGCCAGGCTGAAAATCACACAGGGGCCTCGCAGTTGATGTGAAACTGAGTTATAAATCGTAGAATTTCCCCTCAAGTCCTCTCTGAAGCCCCTTCATGTTCAACTGCCTGCTTAGCAGCAGGTCCGAGCCCTGGATGGCTCTGATCTAGGGGTTTCCATAAGCTTGCACGGGCTGGGGAAATGGGACACACAGCCTTGGGCCTCCTCACCCCGGGGGATTTTCAGACATGTGTGCGCTTGCTGCCCTGGCTGGAGAGTCCCCACAGGCCTGTGTGCCTGGGCGTCGCCCAGCTGGGGCCGTGGTTACTCACCTTCCGTTTGTCCACTGGACCCATTTTCAGTATTAAGTTATTTTCTACAAACTGGTGCCTGCAGGGGAGACAATGAGGGTGGGAGACACCCCCCAAGGGGCAGGGCAGAGATTCCGCCTCTGCCGCCACCCCCACCCCCAACCCCCGATGTAGGAAAGCTCACAGGAAACTGGAACGTGCCATTTCTAGGAC